GATAATATCCATATGCCTACAAGGAAGACCAGTTAATACTATTATTCAAATTTACACACCAATCACCAAAGCCAAAGATGAGGAAATTGACAATTTCTACCAACTTCTGCAGTCTGAAATTGACCAAACATGCAATCAAGCAAGATGTGTTGATTATCACTGGTGACTGGAAGGCAAAAGTTGGAAACAAAGAATCACTGGTAGTTGGAAAATACAGCCTTGCTGATAGAAATGATGCTGGTGGATCGCATGATGGAATTTTGCAAGACCAATGACTTATTCATTGCAAATACCTTTTCTCAACAACATAAACAGTGGCTATACATGTGGACTTTGCCAGATGGAATACACAGGAATCAGATTGACTACATCTGTGGAAAGAGGTGATGGAGAAGCTCAATATCTTTAGTCAAAACAAGGCCAGGAGCTGATTGTGGAACAAGCTGAACCTGAAGACAATTAAAATAAGTCTGCAAGAGCCAAAATATGACCCTGATTATTTCTGTCCTGAATTTAGAGACCATCAAAAGAGTAGATTTGATACATGGAACACCAATGACTGAAAATCAGAGGAATTGTGGGGCAATATCAAGAACATCATCCATGAAGAAAGCAAAAGGTCATTAAAATTCAGGAAAGGAAGAAGAGACCAAAATGGATGTCAGAAGTGACTCTGAAACTACTCTTGAACAGAGAGTAGCTAAAGCAAATGGAAGAAATGACAAGATAAAAGAGCTGAACAGAGGATTTCAAAGAACAGCTCAAGAAAACAAACTCAATTATTATAATGAAATGTGCAAAGACTTGGAGTTAGAAACCCAAAAGTGAGGAACACACTCAGCATTTCTCAAGCTTAAAGAACTGAAGAAAAATTTCAAGGCTTGAGTTTCAATACTGAAAGAGTCTATGGGCAAAATATTGAATGATGCAGAAAACATCAAAAGAAGATGAAAGGAAAACAGAGTCACTGTACCAAAAAGAACTGGTTGATGTTCATCCATTTCAGGAGGTGGCATATGATCAAGAACCAAGGGTATAGAAAGAAGAAGTCTAAGCTGCATCAAAGGAATTGGTGGAAAACAAGGTTCCAGGAACTGATGGGAATATCGATTGAGATGTTTCAACAAATGGATGCCTCACTGGAGGCACTCATTTGTCTATGCCAAGAAATCTGGAAGATAGCTACCTAGCCAACTGACTGGAAGAGATCCATATTTGTACCCATTCCAAAGAAAGGAGATCCCACAGAATGTGGAAATTATCAAACAATATCATTAATATCCCACACAAGTAAAATCTTGCTGAAGAAAATTCAAAAACGGTTGCAGCAGTATATTGAGAGAGAATTTCCAGAAACACAAGCTGGATTCAGAAGAGGATGTAGAACAAGGGACATCATTGCTGATGTCAGATGGATCTTGGCTGAAAGCAAAGAATACCAGAAAGAAGTTTACTTGTGTTTTATTGACTATGCAATAGCATTCAATTGCGTTGATCAAACAAATTATGGATAACATTGAGAAGAATGGGAATTCCAGAACACTTAATTGTGCTCACGAGGAACCTGTACATAGACCAGGAGGCTATCATTTGAATAGAATAAGGGGATACTGAGTGGTTTAAAATCAGGAAGGGAGTGTGTCAGGTCATATCCTTTCACTGTACTTGTTCAATTTGTAGGCTAAGGAAATAATCTGAGAAGCTGGACTATATGAAGAAGAGCATGGCATCAGGATTGGAGGAAGGCTCATTAATAATTTGCGATATGCAGATGACACAACTTTGCTTGCTGAAAGTAAAAATGACTTGAAGTACTTATGATGAAGATTAAAGACTACAGTCTGCAGCATGGATTATACCTCAACATAAAATTAAAATCCTCACAACTGGCCCAATAAGCAGCATCACAATAAATGGAGAAAAGATTGAAGTTGTCATAGATTTCATATTACTTGGTTCCACAATCAACACCAATGGAAGCAGCAGTCAAGAAATCAGACAGCATATTGCTGGGCAAATCTGCTGCCAAGGACCTCTTTCAAGTGCTGAAGAGCAAAGATGTCTCTTTGAAGACTAAGGTGTGCCTAACCCAAGCCATGGTATTTTCAGTTGCCTCATACACATGTGAAAGCTGGACAATGAATAAGAAGAATGAAGAGTTGATGCTTTTGAGTTATGGTGTTAGGGAAGAATACTGAAAGTACCATGGGTTGCTAGAAGAAGTAACCAATCTGTCCTGGAAGAAGTACAGCCAGCATGCTCCTTGGAAACAAATTTGGTCATACTGTCAAAAGGGACCATTTCCTGGAAAAGGATATCATGCTCGGTAACGAGGATGATCAGCAAAAGAGGGGAAGGCGCTCAACGAGATGGACTGACACAGTGGCTGCAACGATGGATTCAGGTTTATCAGGATTGTGAGGACGGCACAGGACTGGGCAGTGTTTTGTTCTGTTGTACGCAGAGTAGCTATGAGTCAGAGCTGACTCAATGGCACCTAACAACAACAACAACTATATGCTAATCACCATGTTAGGTGCTTTGTATACTTTTATCTGTAAACGTCACATTAATCCCATAGAACAGGAGCTAGCATCCTCACTTTACAAATGAGGAATATTTAGAGTCAAATATTTGAAGTAATTTGCCCAGTCATTCAGTGCCAAGATTTGAACTTAATCTTCATGAACCTAAAGGATGTGGCTTTTTCAACCCATATGGACTTTACTGAATGAAGCTGGCTTGGCTTACTTCTGGGCAGGAGTAAGACTGCCCCTAATATTCCATTCTCTTTAGCATCTGAAGTACACTGCATTCAACACACTGAAACAATATCATGTGTAGACTTGATATTTCCACCGTGTCATCATCAGTTGGGGGAGACCTTGTTTCCTTCAGGTTTTATTTCATTCTGGTTTTCATTCATGCCATCTATCATCAGTCTAATACTTTAGTGGGAAAGTGAAGATGAGTGTATCATGTAGGTCAGTGGTTCTCAAAGTGTCCCAGGACCAGAAGCCCCAGCATCACCTGGGAGACTGTCAGAAATGAAAATTCTCCCACTCCACTCCAAACTTACTGAATCAGAAACTCTGGGGATGGGGTAGCAATCTGTGTTTCAATAAGCCCTCCTGGTGAATCTGATACCAACTGAAGTCTGAGAACTAATGAGAACTATGGGTACAGGTAAAGTGTTGTATCAGGCTTTTATGTGACAGGTCATTATGTGTCAAGGGATTATAACCTAAAACAAATTCCATGCCCACCGCCATATATATATAT